AACCACGCCCACATCTCATATAACGGTAATTTGAAGAAATACGAAATCTTCGACAAATCAGTAAATATTAAAGCCAATTTATTCAGAATTGATGCTTTCAACAATTCCTTACCAGGAAATACGTCTATAATAAAATTTTGAAAAATGGGCGTGGCACCGCCCACTTATGATCACATATATGTATCTCGGTAAACGTTCTACCAATTTGTAATAAACTCGGTATTTTTATTGTGCTTGCTACATAAAAGCAAAACGATGAAAATTATTGAAATCGGACTAAAATTATGGCTTTTCATGTAACGGTAAATTTTAGAAATGCTTTAAACGTCAATATTTTGAAATTTAAGGACGCTAATTTACTCAAAATTGATACACCTGGGCTTACCGTGTAGCGGTAGCTTTCGGAAAGGTGAAAATCATATATTTAATATTTGCGCCGGGTATTTAATGTTCGGCTCCGCCCGAACTTAGACTTCCTTACTTGTTTTATTTTGCGCTGTGCTCAGTGTTGCCACGAACAAAATTTTTTTCCTACCAAAATTGCCTACCAAAACCAACCAAAACCTACCAAATTTTTTTTCTTTGGTTTTTTTTTTAATGTCAATTTTATTAAAAATTTAGGTGGCATAACTTTTAGTTAAACTAAAACACAACTAGTACAATAAAAACAAATTAGCTGCGTTTAACAATTTATTTTACTGTACAGACTTAACAAATGTATGTCCCTTTACACATACATATTATTTTTATTATTACGGCGGGAGTAATCGCGCTGTGACCTAAAAATATCTATTGTGCTAAACGCTAATTGAAATCACTCCAATCTTAGGCTATTTAAGAAGCGAAGCACTTTGTAAGGTGCCATGTTCCAAATTTTGGATGGAGAAGACAATCGGTAACCAAGGTGTATCAGTCTTCTATTCATGAAACGTGGGCAGTCACAAAAACTCGGGACCACGCCAGTGCATTTGGGCTCCACGCTTTGCGAGATAGTCAGCCCTTTTGTTGCCTTAAGCCCCCTGACAGGCATAAAACGCCCTTGTAGCCTTGTTAGTAACATTCAAGAGATGTGAGTTCCAATTGACCCTTTGGTCTAGAGTAACCTCTAGATACTTCGCCTTTTCTGAGAACTCAATTTCTGTCCTACCAACGTCGGTATAGTCAAGTTGACTTTCCTGACGGGACAATGGGGGACTTCAGTGGGTCTATTGGCAAGCCTTTTCAGCGTACCAGTCTTCAGTACATATCGATATGTAAATAGTTTATCACAACTTTGTAGTTCAATTTAAATTAAATAGATAACTTGTAGGCACATAAATTATACGTGGGTGTTCATAATGTAGGTATATTGGCAATTATAAGGGTATGCGCAGAGCTGGGTCGTAATGATTCCTTTAGGAATTAAATTACTCCCAATTACAGATTACAAGGAATTGTAGTTAGGAATCAATTCCTTCAGTCCACAGCAAAGGATTCGATTACTTTTTCAGTTCCTTGAAGTGATTTCAAATGTAATTGGTTTTTTCTTTAATTCCATTACAAGGAATTTCATATTGTAATTGGAATAAATTACGTGCTAGTAATGTAATTTTTTTTTCCAATTCCTTTGAAAGGAATTGAAAATGTAATTGATTTTTTTTCAATTCCATTACCTGGAATTGCAAGAGTACTTTAGTTTTTCCAATTACTCAAAGGAATTGTAAAAGTAATCGAGAAACTGAAAGTTCATTCACGAATATACAATGTGGAATTTTTGTTGTGGTCAAAGATTAAAATCGAAAGCACACATTGGACATCTTCTATGTATATCTATATATATATAAAAATGTTGTGTTCGTATGTCACGGTCATCAAAACCCGAGAACGGCTGAACCGATTTGAATAATTTTTTTTTTCTTATATTCGGTATAATACCGGAACCAATGATATCGCAAAAATTTGGAGGGTTGCCACCTATTTTAAAATGCTTAAACCCAATTATATTGATAAAATTAATGAATTATTACAATATGGGTATCAAGTTAAAGAGGTTTAAGAAAGATAACTGCTGGAAGTATTTTTGACGAGGGTGGCCACCTATTTGAAAATTTAAACTCAGTAAAATTGTTAAAAAAAATGAAATATTGCCATGTGGGTGTCAAACTAAAGAGTTTTAAGAAGGCTTACTGCCGAAAATATGTTTGAGGAGGGTTGCCATCTGTTTGAAAATTTAACTACATTACATTGAAAAAATAATAAAATATTACAATATGGGTATCAAATTAAGAGGTTTAAAAAATATAACTGTTGGAAATATTTTTGAGGGGGGCTGCCACCTATTTGGAAATTGTAACTCAGTTAAATTGATAAAGTAAATGAAATTGTGGCATGTGGGTGTCAAACTAAAGAGTTTTAAAAAGGCTTACAGTCTACCATGAACACTTCCAGAAATATGCAATATGAAAAGTACGGTTTATATGGGAGGTGCCACGCCCCATTCTCCAACCATGCAAATTTTTCTCCATGAGTATGGAATTGGTCTTATATATGTATATATCACCATACCCAGTTCTAGTCCTCTACCACAAATATATGCAGTTTGAAAAATTCGGTTTGTATGGGAGGTGCCACGCCCCATTTCTATATCGAAACTTTTTTTTACCCTATAACCATCCTTGGAAAGTCTTCAGTAGATTCCGAAATTTCGAAAAAATCGGTACGGCCTTTCTCGAGCTATGCGAACAGAAAAAAACGCTTTTCAAAATATATATTAGTATAGACTAGCCAATATCTGCTTGTTTTGCGGCTTAAAACACTACTACCGATGAAAATCGATGGATAAATAAGCAAGTTTGCAAGGGTTAGGTTGAAGTGGCTGCTAGGCCCAGAGGGCGCCAGCACACTTAGGCCCGATCATAGCCCATTGTGATTTGCAAGGGTTAAGTGAAAGTGTAATAATTTTTTGTATAAAATACTAGCAGGAAATAATGTTACCCATACGCCATATCGTACATGACCGTATGACCATGTTTAAGTTTGATTTTTTTCATTCGCAATGAAAACTTAAAATGAAAATAACTTGACTAAATGACCTTATCAAAAAAAACTGTATACAGATCCGTAACATACTACTTAAAATTAATTTTACGTCTCTCGGCGTTTTTTGTGTAATTTTAGCGTCGTTACAGTGTTATCATCAAAATTTAGCCATAGCAATGAAATTTGTTTATAAAACTCTTAGGAGGTAGGATCTCCAGTCCCACAGGGCTCGTAATTCAAGCGGACTCTATCCTCATTTGTAACGCAGGATACCAGTAAGAGTACTTCAAAGGCCCCAGAAGGCACGCCATTTTGGGTAGAATTAAAGGTACCATAATATACACAATTAACTCCGTGCATTTTTATAGATACGCAGGGATTAGTCCAAGAGAACAGCAGGGCCCAAGGAAGCAGCATTTATGGGTCTCACCTGCCGCGAAGCGCGTTCGCGGTAGGATCTGGAAAATTTAACCGTTACCCTATAAACTGAACAGCTACAGTTTAAGCTATTCAGTTTTCTTAAAGTCCAATTAGTAATACTACTTAGGTATAAGTTGTTAATACAAGGCAGTTAGCAACCAAGTTGTTGATCAACTTAATACTTTAATTAAACATACGTGTTATTAAAATTTGATTTTAAAAATACCACTGTGTCCTACTGTGGTAGAAATATGTAATTTTAAAACTTGAATCATAGAAATCGACCCAGTACATCGGCTGTTTTGCTCTCACGTTTTTTTGGGCTTTAATTTTATATATAGTATAGATAAAATTTGCAATACCCGACATCATGGAAAGAGTCATGTCGTCGTTTAAAGTACCAAACCGCGTATCAACAAAATGCAAAAGCCGCGTATCAAGATAATGCAAAACTGCGTATGTAATGTTGCATAAATTATTTTCTAGCGAGTAAAAACACTCATATTTCTTTTTTATAAAGCAATCGCATTTCTGGCTAGTATATTTCAGGATGAATGGATAAGAATTCAGCCAAGAACTTGTGTGAGAAAATCCAATTTTTGGCTCAAATGTCAGTGACGCGNGCTAGTATATTTCAGGATGAATGGATAAGAATTCAGCCAAGAACTTGTGTGAGAAAATCCAATTTTTGGCTCAAATGTCAGTGACGCGGTTTTGCAGAATGACGATACGCGGTTTTGAACTTTAAATGACGATATGTGTATTAGGGTATTTTCGAAGTCTTGCAAAGCCCTTGACGGTGCTCGGATGGCAAAGCTTTCCCATGGGAAAACCGGCTCTTGTCATACAATCCGTGCGCCATGCAATGGCTTTGCAAAACTTTGGGAATCCCCCTCTCTTCCTGTCTTTCGTTTTTACTCACATTTTGCAATGGCCTTGGTATCACTGTACTTGGTTTGAATCCATTCGAAGTTCCGCAAGTAACATTTTGCAGTCTTGACGTGGAATGATTATTTTCCGAAACACAGCTGATCTTTTGAGTATTTTGCGACAAAAAATGAATGCCTGTGCCAATGACTATAAAGAAATTACAATAAAATTTAAGCTTATCATTTTCTCAGTAACATAATTACATATTTTTTAGATTTTTTAAATAACTTTCGGAAGCACAATACATAATATAGTAAATAATAACGGGAAATCCAACAGATTAATCTGTAAGCCATCTATGCCCTCCGTTCGCTCTTTCTTAACCGTAGAGTACTAGTCGATTCAACGACTACCAATATTATTTTACTTATTTTCTCTTTACTGCGAGATGTGATTGTGGTCAGATTTGACTTATGTGCGCCCTCTTTTCTGGTGTTCTAATGTCGAGAAAAGGTGCATTTTTTTGTTTGGACTATCGGAGTGTGGTTTTTCCTTTGACTGCTGGTCGAAACGGATCTGAAACTTGTGTCTCACGCACAAAATTTGCTAATAATTAAAAGTTTTCCTGCTTGTTTATTAATAGCAATATAATTAGTTACTTTTTGCTTTATACTGATCTCGTTGTAAAGTCGTAGATAAAATTTAGTCATTTTCTGATATAGTAGTAATATGTAGTAGATTGGCGCTTACACATATGTTAATATGTTGGAAAAGAAATAATTCACGCAGGCTTTCTCTCCGTTTGTTGGTGGGCTTTATTTCGTAAAAAAATTTTAGAATGCATCTAAAACCGGTTACATTCATAATCCGGAAATTCAAAATCCAGACATATCAAAAT